ATTGTTAAACCTCTCCAATAATGTTGTTTTTCTCAAGACAGCACAGTGTTTATGTCAAGAATTTCCATTTGGTTTCCTTTTTATAGTCTCCTTTTATTTTCTGAGATTCCTCATCTATTTACTAATTATGTTGTAATGTCCTTGCAAATTTCTACATCTCTGTCATCTTTGGATCTGTTTCTCTTGACCTGATTTCCTTAGGTATGTGTGATTTTCCTGCTTCTTACCTACCTGGTAGTATTTATCTAGATGGTGGATACCAAATTGTTAATGACTGTAGATTTTGTTGATTTCCTTGGAAGATAGTTGAGACTTGTTCTAGCAGACAGTTTTATTTCCTGAAAGATCACTTTTACTTTTTCAAGGTTTGTTCAGGAGCATTGTTATGGTAGGTCTAGAGTAGTACTCAATCTAGGGCTACTATAGCTCTGTTCCTAAGCTGTGGCTTTGGCAGGATCAGCTGAATGCTTGTGATGTTCACAGTGATCTCTCCACTCAGGGCTGGTTGAAACTCCATGTTTCCCAGCACTGTGCACTTTCTGGAATTTCCATTTATCTCATGACCTTCAAAAAGTTATTCTCAGAAAGGGTTGGCAGAGTTTTGCCCTGCACATATTTAGCTTGACAGTTGGTCAAGGAAACTCTTTTGCAGATTTCTGGAGCTTCTCTCAGCAGGCCCCACCTTCTAGTTCCCTGACCCAAAATACAGCTTTCTCTGCAGCCTGAAATGCCAACTTCTGCTTCTTATGCCCAGACTGCTGCTCTCTGGGCTCCACTTCCTTTTATTGCTATTTGGAAGGTATCCAGGGAAACAAGCAGGGAGAATTCAAAACTCTTCTCTCAAGGATCACAGTTCTATATGTCTGTGTGCAATGCCAAAAACCAGTTGCTTTCATTCTTTTGTAGTTCTCTATGGCCAAAGGGTTACATCTGGTATCCATGACTGACTGGAACCAAAGAATTTGAGTCCTCCCTCACACTGTGCCTTTGTTGGTTCAAATGACTTATACGGTTCTTTCTGCCTACCTCTACAGCATTATCACAATACTATGCCACCAGCATACCTATACCACCACATATATGTGCACAATCAAGACACCCTGCATGTTCCTAACAACAAACCATTTTCAATTCTTCAAAAATGCTGAAGCTTCTACCCCCAGTCCAGGCTTCCTTCATTTTGTTCTCTCTATCTATAACCCTTGCCTCATCTCTTGGCTTCTACTTATCTTTTCAAATCAGCTTAAATATCTCTGTTATTTCTCTCTTGAGTTCACATAGCAGTTTCAACCTTCCCTAATCAAAGACATTATAAAATTTCATTATAGCTTCTTACTGAATATGAATTATATTTGCCTGCTGGATTCTAAGATGTATGAGGGCAGTGTGGGGATTATCCTGTTTGATTATCAAACTTTAGTCACCTACTATTGTAACACTTATGAAAATACCAATTAAAGATTTGGGCTAGGAAAAGTACTAGATAAACCTGTTCTTATAATACCCAGAGGGAATTTACTTGAAATTCTACTCTAATAATTAGTAACCTATCTACATAGACTTTGCTTATATTGCTCTGGGTGTCCTGAGTTGCCCTCTAACTATATGGCTGTCTGGCCAATTTAGTCATTTGCTTCCCTCCATTTAAAAATTCTGTTGCCAACTAAAATACATGTATTTTTTTGGTGGTAGGTAATTATTAAAGCCATCATAAAACTCATACCTCAAAGAAACATATTTTGTTAGATTTTCCTAAGACATATTACCAGAAAAAACAGAACTACATTTTAATTCTCTAGATATTTTTGTGACCAAGGCAAGCACTGAATATAGTAAGGTGCTTATAATGTGCCTATGATCTCAGGAGTAAAATTATAGGTACACTTATTCTAACCATTGCAGGCTTGGAAGAGAGTTCAAACTAAACATATCGGGGTCTCTTTAATCAATGTCATGGCTAATGGCAAAAATGTACAGCATAAGTCACTGTAGTATTTGAGCTAAAGTATTTGAGCAAAAAATTAGTTGGATTAAACTATAAGCAATGATATCAAAGTGACAGATATGCATTGATTTCTCAACAGAAATTCAATGTGAAAAGAATTCAAAATATATATGCATTTGACTACTAAAGGTAATGTAATACTTCTCCCCATGAAAGTTCCCAAAAGATATTTTCAAATAAAGTTAAAACAAAAACAAAAATGAAAAAACCCACAACACTTGAAAAGAGAAATATTATCACTTAAAAGCAACCAAAACATTAAAAAAGCATTCACCATGATCAAGTTGGTTTCAGGAATACAAGGTTGCATGCCACACTGCAAATCAATGAGTGTAACACAGCAGATGAATAAAAATCAAGGATAAGAACCATAAGATCATCTCAATATATGCAGGACAAGCCTGTGTTAAAGCTTAACATCCTTTCATGATAAAATTCCTGAATAAATTAGGCACAGAAGGATCCTGACTCAACATAATACGGACAACATGTGACAAACCCATGGCCAACATCACACTAAGTGGGGAAACTGAAAGCGTTTTTTCTAAGATCCAAGAAAGTCCACCTTCACCCTTATTTCATATAATACTAGAAGTTTTAGCCAGAACAATTAGACAAGAGAATGAAATAAAAAGTACACAAGTAAGGAACAGGAAAGTCAAATTATCCCTATTTGCTAATGATTCTATATATAGAAAATACTTGCACTGAAAGACTTTTAGACCTGATAAAGAATTTCAGTAAAATAGCAGGATATGAAAATCAACATACAAAAATCAATACTCTTATTATACACCAATAATGAAGTTACTAAAAAATAAATCAGAAAGAAGTCCCATACATATTAGCCATACACAAAATAACCCTTGGAATAAACCCAATCGAGGATGTGAAAAACCTTTACATCGAATATTGCAAAACACTGAATAAAGATACTGAAGGAGATACTAAAAGATGGAAAGACCACCCACATTCTTGGACTGGAGAATCAATATTGTTGAAATGGTCATTCTATCCAAAGTGATCTACAGATTCAGTGCAATCCCCATCAAAATACCAATGACATTCTTCACAGAATAAACCTAAAAATCCACATGGATACATAAAAGACCCAGAATAGCCAGAGCAACCCTGAGCAAAGAGAGCAATGCTGAAGGATTTCAAAACATACTACAGAGCCATAGTAACAAAAAACAGTACGTTATTGACATAAAGATAGATATGTAGACCAAGAGAAGAAAATCAAGGACCCAGAAATAAATCCATGCATAGTCAACCAACTGATTCTTGACAAAGGTGCCAAAAACTCACGCTGAATAAAGGACAGTCTCTTCAACAAATGATCCGAGAAAATCAGATACCCACAAGCAGAAGATTGAAACTAGACCACTATCTCTCACCCTGTACAATAGTCAACTCAAAATAGACCAAAAACTTTAATGTAAGACCCAAAACTTTAAAACTACTAGGAAAAAAACAGAAGGGAAACACTTCATGATATTGGCACAGGTGATAATTTTTTTGGCTAGAATTCCAAAGCTTAGGAAAAAAAAAAGAAAAACAAGAACCAAAGTGATTATATCAAATTTTAGTTTTAGCACAACTAAGGAGACACTCAAGTATAGACATAACCTAGAGACTGCAAGAAAATCTTTACCAGCTATTCACCTGACTGGATTAATATCTAGATTAATATAAAGAACAAAAAAATTTAACAACAAAAAATAAGTAATCCAATTTAAAAAATGGGCAAGTGACCTGAATTTATTTCTCAAAAAAAAGTACAAATGGCCAATAAACATGAAAAAAATGTTCAACATCTTTAGCTATCAGGGAAATGCAAATCAAAACTACACTAAGATTCCACTGAACCTTAGTTAGAAAGGATATTATCAAAAAAATAAAAACTACCGGCAATGATGTAGACAAAAAGGAACTCACATACTGTTGGTGGTAGGAATGTTAAGTTAGAATAGTCCATGTGGAAAATAGTATGTAAGTTCCTCAAAAAACTAAAAACAGAACTATCATATGATCCAGTTATACCGCTTCTGGGTTATAAAAGACACCTGTATATCCATGTTTATTATAGCACTATTTAGAACAGCTAGGACACAGAATCAACCTAGATGCTGTCAACAGATGAGTGGATAACAAATATGGTGTGCGTGTGTATGTGTGTGTGTGTGTGTGTGTGTGTGTGTGTGTGTGTATATATGCACAATGGAGTATTATTCAATCATAGAAAAGAATGAAATCCTATCATTTACAGGAAAATGGATGGAACTGGAGAACATATTGAGTGAAATAAGTCAGGGACTATTAGGGGCTAGGAAGGGTGACACACTGGGGGTTGGAGAGCAGTGAAGAGAAATGGGAGACTGAGAAAAGGTGAAAGAGACAGTAGACATAATCAATGGATGATATATACATGCATGGAAATGTCAGTGAAACCCATTAATTTGTACCATTTATACATATTAATTTAAAAAAGTGAAAGACAAAATAAGCCCAAAAGGATCTAAAGAATATCCAAACTACTGAAGAAAATGGCCTTTTAAGGTCCTTCTAATTCTTGAGATTTTTAGAAGTCTTCAAAGAAACCTCAAAATTTACCCTCTTCCATATATTCAGGGTTAAGAAGCTAAATAGTTCAATCAGAAATATAATGACATACTTCTTTGGGACAAGCGTAAGGTAAATGGTGGGATCAAAAACAGAAAATAAACAAATAAATACTGAAGATATCAAAAGAAGAAAAACATATCTAAATACATAGCTTCTCCAAGCCTCAGAGAGGACTGAGTGCTAGTGTCTAGCACACTTCATTATTTATTTCTTTTTCCTTTTAATCTGTAGTTAAGAGACATGCAGTAGTTAAAACACACACACACATACATACACAAAGAAAACTACTATGTATCATATTTATAATCATATTACAAGCCCCAGAAATTTAAAAAGAAATAACTAAAATTATAAAGTCTTTTCTTACCATTGACGTCACCACCAAGGCAGGAGAAAATCCCATTGTGAGATAGAAGAAGAGCTCAACCACTTTATACCTGCAAAAAAAGAGAAATGCTTTTGAATTTAAGCATTTCTTTGTTACATAGAGCATTAACATAAAAGATTTTCCTTTTTTATTTTAAAAGAGAAGTGTAAACTTTTAACCACTTAAGTGATATATATCCCTCAGAAGAAGACCACTAGGCCTCTACCTAACATACCATCAGGGAGTAACAATGACCTAGCATTTCCTCTAGGATTGAATAGGCAGCAAACATTACATGCTACTTAGAACATGTGTCAAAGTTACCAAATTGAATTCAATCCACCTTACATTTTTCCCTTTCCAACCCTAGAGTGTCTGTCTTCATTACCATCCACACTTAAGAGAACATCAAACTATGAAGGCAGATGGGGATGCAGTTTGGGACCTAGTTTATCAAGGGCAAAGAAACAACAGCCCTAAGGAAAGAGATGCATTTTGTCTGTGTCTTCATTTTGTATTTGTACAAACTCCAATTCTCTAGCCTAATAATTATCAGATTAGGCTACAGAATACCTGAAAATTCCAAGGAACTCAATGTATTAAAATTCAACTTACATGTCTATCTAATCATAAAAGACTGGAGTCTCTTCAAAGGCAGGGACTGAGTTTATTTATGTTTCGATCTACAGGGCCTAGAACAGTGCTGGATTCAATTTAAGTGCTCAATAATGTCTGCCAAACAAAATGGTCAAGGGTGATTCACTTCGTTCTTAGTTTTTAATACTCAAAACCTGTTGTGAAGTAACCATATCAGGAGAAGGAGGAGCTTAGCAGTTTGGTGTACATCAGAAGGCCTTCCTTCCTTACTTCCTATTTTATCTGAGTATATGATTTAAGAGTTTGAGCCCAAGAAGCAAAGTGTACCCTTGGATTTATATATATCACATATACCCACTTGGCACTGCTAATTATGGTCAAAAGAGATTTTGAGTGAATTTCAAAATCAGAGAGACATTAGTGAGAAGTACCACTTTCTCCTGAAAGGAGAAAATAAGACAATACTCTCTGACAAACACAAATTATATTCTGAAAGCCCTTCTGCCAACCATGGAGATAAAGAATTTAATAAACTGTTAAATTAAATGACAATGATATCATGGTTATGAGATTCTCAAATTCAAGCATCTTAAATAATAAAAAGAGCTATGGATCAGAAACTGGAATACCTGGATCCTAATTTCCAGTGAGTCCCTTATGACAAATTTCAATAAGCCTTTCTTTTTATATTGTTCAATACTTGTGACTATGAGCTCTAAATAAGGAACTGTCAAGTGTGCCCCAAGGCCATAATAGTAAGAGTTTAGATATCCTTCCAAATGGCCCTTTTTTTTATGGAAGCCTATTTGGAACACCCAGTACGTTCCTATGTTGGTAGGTATTATGCTGCTGGGCACTTAATATCTGTTACCTTCAATCTTCATAGAAACCTTACAAAAGGCTATTTTTCTTACCTCAAGACTGTAAATTACAGAGGACAAGGCTAGTTGGCCTTAGAATGAGAAATGAGGTCCCACTGATTCCAAAATGCTTGGCCATATTGTCCCTCATCCACATCATATCATACACATGTCATTCATATCTTTCTATGGCAATCTGTTCACCAATAACGACTACCAAATGGTTCTAAAGATTTATTAAAAACAATATAGTCTATTTATGTATTTCTACTATTTTGAAGTACAAATATAAAGGAAATTGTATTGAAATGCAGGTAAAATTTAGGCAGTTAATTTTTAAATTATCAAACATAAATTATTTTCTCTTACTTTTCATGGTAGAGAAATACATAAATGGTTCCTCCAGCTGCCATGAGCCAGATAAACCAACGCATATGAGATGCCAGGGGTCCAAGTTCACGGAGATTTAACCTACAAACGTAAACATGACAACAAAGAACACAAGGGATAAATGAAGGAAATTCACAGAACTTGTGTTTTCCTCTAATCACTGAAAACTGAGAAAATAATTAGGATAAGAGCAGGAAGAGAAGGTATCAGAACAATAAGGAGGCAGGTGGGCAATTTGGGTAAAATTAATAACTTAAAAAAGATAAAATTCTCGGTCAACCTTTAAGACTTAAAATAAGTTCTAGCATGATTTAAAAAGAGAACCAACTAAGAACAGACAAGCAGAAGTGAGTCCCAGCACACCTGTCACGCCTGAATTTGTCTAGGAGTGCAGACTGGGGTAAAGGATACTTGTCTTTTTATTTCTGAGCATGTTTTGGGGAGTGAATTGCTTACAAAGCTTAATGAGAAACCTGAACAAATTTCTGAGCCAGAATCACATACCCATAGCAGATACCTAATACACAGACAACATGTCTCCATTACCTAGCTCTCTGCCAAGATGAAACATGAGAAGAATTATCCCAACATGTGTGATGGAAGATATTCTGTTAGAATTTAACTGCGGACCATTGTGAGGTCTGAATTTTAAAATGTTGTGAGTTCATCTGTAATAGTGTCATAATAAGAATATGAAAAAAATGCTCTAATTGTCTATGACTATAAAATTAATATTTTCAAATGGAAAAGGTGTCCTTGCGTAGCTAAAGTAAATGTGAATAAAGTGCCTACTTTGATACCTGATTCTTCAGCTCATACTTAAAATTTTTTTTACTTATTTACTTATTTTAAATTGAAATGTACTTCACAAAAGCATTCAAGCATTCTTGCTCCAATATGAATCAGACCTATAATTTAGTAAGATGTATTGGAGAGAGCTAGCACTTATTTTTATACTAACAGATAATTATGCTTCTTTGGAACAAGTGAGGCTACATTAGCCAGAATCTAGAAGTCTGCTTTTCTAATGACTATAGCAATTGATGGCATAATAAGAACTTCTGAGTGTTTAAAATTGAACCATGTCTTGATAAGGGAAAACTAATGTTTCTTTAATTATGTGCTTCAAAGCAACATAAGATTGCATTTGATCTGTACCAACAGGAAAATAAGATCAAGGAAATGGAAGAGAATACGAGGTATTTTAAATAGTTAACTAATTTGGCTAGTTCACTTACTTAGATAGCAAAGAAATGAGAATGTGCTGCATAAATCTCAAAAGGAAGCTTGCTTTTCTCATATATATTTACAGCACTGTTTACCTGAACAATTCAAGTTCTGAAAAGTAGCAGAGGTATATGGAAAGAATATAGAGGGCAAAGTTTATGTTTAAAAATGAACATGCTACCTACAATTAAGTTCATAGCATTCACGTCCTCTTAGACAATTCAATTCTCAGATATTCATTCTAAACAGCAATATTTCTCACTTCAAAACTACAATCTGACCCAAGTAATCAAATAGGAAAAAATGCATATATTTATATCCTTCAGGGGGAAATGGGATATATGCATGAGAGCTGGGGGCAGGGAGAGGAGGAATAGAAGAAAAGAGAAATGAGGAATTCTAATCATAAAAATATTGCCTTCAAGAATAGTTTTATCTTACCATGGAGCATAAGATGCTGCAATGAAGAAATAAATTACCATTCTATCACACATGTGAAAACAATGCTCCACTGTCCTGGTAAGGAAGAAAACACAAGTTAGACACATTTAAAAAGAAAATGTTTAGACTGAAAGTATGGGTTATCACTGCACTATGTTGCGATTTCCATTCCTGTTCTAGTCTCTCATGACATTTATAACTTGCTCTTGTTTTTTTTTTAATATTATGAAGCCACAAATAAAAAGCTTTATATTGACTTTCAGGTTGTTCACACAATATTCTTACCATGTATAAGACAGAAATAGAGCCCCATGATAATTAGGAAGTCTAAAGTGATTAAAAGAAATGAAATCTTGTCTTTTCTGATATTGTCCATTTCTTTCAGAGCCTATCTAACAGAGAAATGAAATTCCTTGACAGCAGATCACCTCCTAGTTCTTCCCACAGCGCAGGGCATGAGGTCCTGATGTTCAGCAAACACTCCCTGAACTCAGGCTACACTCTTCGTATCTGTTTAGAATGTCTTTTAAAAAGCTTTCATTTTTAAATACCGCAGAGTAGACAAGAGGATGTAATAAAGGCAATGCAGTAATTTAGGAAAAGCCATAACAAAAACACAAAACATTGCATTTGCTACAAGAGGGTGACCTCTCAGATTTCTAAGCAAGTTCCTCTTTCCAAAATCGAAGTCAGGAAATGTATGCACCAAGATCTGCCTCATGGATGTCTACTCAAAATGGCTTAAGCAGAATCTGCCCTTTACTGAAGTGATTTAAAAGTATAAATGCACAGCATCACCTTGTATCTCTCTTCAGTGTGCAGGAGGTTCTAAGACAATCTGAAGGAGCACTAGCATTAGGCTTGACCTCCCCCCACACAGTATTGACCCAACAGACTGATCAGGACCTGTGTTACTTAAGCGAGAATACATTTGTGAGGAGGAATGGTTTTTAGTTTAGTGGCCGGAAGCTACAACTCACCCCCAATGTAACTCAGGTCACAGATCTAAAGAAGCAAGCACTAGATCAATGCTTCTCAAATTTGACTACTATGTATTACAATCACCTGGGGAGCTTTAAATTGTAATCATGGACTCCAGCCCACACAATTCTACTTTAAGGCTAGAAATGTGATAGATGGTCCAAGGAAAGGGAGTATCTGTTTTGAAACTTTTTTTTTTTTTCCCATTTTCCCTAACCTTCTGGAATGACTGCAACTCCTAGCAAGGTTCGGGACCTTTTTTATTCTGCTTTCTAGATTGTCAAGACATTGTTAGAATAGGGAGCCACACCTGGAACTTAATCAAGATCTGCCACCCACTTCTCTCTCACTATTCTCACAAGTAAAATGAAAGTAATTTCTTTCTTACATTGAATGTGAAGCATTAAATGTGATAATGTAGGCCATGTAAAATATTTAGCACATAGTAGCACCTAGCACATATTAATATTTCCCTTCTCTTTTCCACTGAAATTAAGGCATTATTTGGATATTTAAAATATTTAATGCAGAGCAAAAAATCTAAATGTGGCTTTTGATTCTACCAGTGCTACATCAAGGTTCAAGAGAGTCTGGTTTCGTTACACTTTCCTTGTCCCTGGCAAGGAGGCCCTGAATACTGAAGTAGGCATCTACAACTCTTTATTGATTCAGAAATCTAGACATCAAAGCCAAGTCTGCTGAGGCAACCACAAGCATTGGAATATGCCAAGATGATAATGAAGTGCTCTGCTTCCAGACTGGCCTCCGCGACAGTGTGCCCTGAGGAGCCAGGGTGGGTACTTTTGTGGTTGTCTTATGAGCATGTTCCAAAGAACTCTTGAAATTCATTGCTGTGGTTTTATTTTAATCCCAGGGAACTGTCACCTTATAGGAAAGGGTAGCAGACAGCAAACTATATGCAGTATTGTGAAGGATACGGAGAAAGAAAAAAAAAAAGTGCTTAGGGGTCAAAGGTCTTGGGATGATCCAATTCTGCTGGTTTCACTGAGCTAGACAAGTCAGGTTTGCCCAACTAAAATTAAGGAGTTTGGATTAGATGATCTCTAAATATCCTTCCAGCTCTGTTACTCTCGATTCTACATGTGACAAAAATCAGTAGTCATCTCCAAAATCCTGCTTGTAAATGAAACATCTTTTCAATACTAGATTTTTTGAATATTTTGAGATTATTTTTTTGAAATTCTATAAAACCAAAAAGTACTTTCAAGTATTACTTTAAATTTCTCTTAGACTGCTCTGAATCCTCCTTTTTCAAGAAAAAAAAAATTACCCTCTTGGTTTTAATCTACTAAAAAGCTATTTCACAAGCAACCCACCCCCATCTGAATGTGCTGCTCCTTCTAAATAAAGTTGCTCAAATGATTCCTTTACTGAGAAGGAATGTTTCTGTCTTCTTCTTGTTGGTAGGCCGATGGCCACAGCAATGTTTGCAAAGTGCCTGACAGCTAACAATAGCAAAATACTTAAATGCTATACATGGAACTTCTTTCTAAAAGCTCAACTTCACGAAATGGTAAACCCAAACTGTCATATATCTCCTTACATCACATAGTCCTATGGTCTTTTGTAATTTTCCAATCATTTTCATATACATTATCTTATTCATCTATCACAATAACTTGTGAGTCAGGTATTATAACTCTCATTTTAGCAGTGAAGAAACTGAAGCTCCTTGAGGTCTAGTGACTTACCCAAGATTAAGGGGCAGGACTAGGACTCAAAACCCACTTGCTGACTCCAAAGTCAATGTGCTTTGTCACTAACCCATGGCTATTGCTTCTTACAGTAAGTATCCTTGGTGTGCTAGATAGAATTACAAAATTGCTCTAAGGATTATAAGTTGTTAAGTCTTGGGGAACCAGTGAGTTAGTTATTATTTGTGGTTATTAGCAAAGGCTTGCTTTCTTAGATGCTAAGAGGGAGAGGAATCCTCAAGCTCTGTCCAACCCAAAGAAAGTGTTCTGATTACAGAACAACACTTTTTTAGACCCTCCAACATCTATTGCTGCCCTCCTGCAACAAGAAGATGTCCACTCTTTGCCCCATGTGACTAAAAACATGCCAGTTTGGGAGAATGACAATACACTGAGTCAACTAGTTTGGCCTATTTAAATAGCATTTTATCCACTGTACCTTAAGTGACTCTTTTTCCATGATACAATGTGAAATACTGTGGAAACGATGAAGAGGGCACAAAGGCCCATCCCATAAATCCATGCTGTTATCTTTTCCCAGCAGTCATCAGACAGCCGATGGAGGAGGGCACTGCCCACAATGGCCGGAACAATGAGGAACTGGAGGAAAGGTAATGAGAAGTAAACATCCTAGCCATCATGAAAATAAGACTTTTGCTAAAAATAGAGGCTTAGCAAAATAATTTTCTAAGAAACATTTTCCTTTCTTGAATAATCATGAGAGCACAATGAAGTGGTTAGCTGTTGCACTGGAAGCACACTGTTCTCAGGGACTGTGCTAACCAAAGTGTACACCAATAGGCAGGCAAAGATGCAACATTACTCAACTGTTGCAAAATAGATGTTCTTTATCCTGATTTCATTAAAGAAAGGCACATTTCATTCTACTCTCTAATCTGATTTGGAATAGGTTTTTTTAAAATATTCAAATGCACTAGGTGCATTGGTGCATGCCTTTAATCCCAGCAACTCAGGAGGCTGAGGCCCCAGTTTAAGGCCAGCCTGGACAATTTAAAAAAGTAAAAATAAAAAGGGCTGAGGATGCAGCTCACTGGCAGAACACCCCTACATTCAATCAGTACTTCAAAAAATAAATAAAATAAAATAAGTACAGTGTTCAAATGCCACTCATATGCCTAGATTTCTCATGGAGGTCCAGATTTTAAAATATTCTGTTCTATTGCCCCCATGGGCTACTGAAATTCCAATGTTTCAGTAAAGGGTCAATGAATGAATCAAGTCAATGACTAATATTATGCATACAACACCACACACACACAAAATCAATTATTCAAGTCATGTCCTGATTTTCTGTTCATTCTATCCATTTGGGAGTTACTACAGAATGATACTAATTTTGCAGCATTTCATTTTTAATACTTTTGTTTTTAAGTAAACAAGAACAATCCACTTTTAAGGATCAACTACTCAAAAAATTTTAAGAAGCCAGAATCTTAGAATTTTGATCTCTGTGAGGAAGAAAAGGGGAAGAAAGGAGAAATACCAAGAAATGATATTGGCCAAATAGTATTGTTACATCATGTGCATGTATGAATATGTAACAACAAATCCCACCATGTGTATAATTATAATGCATGAATAAAAAATATGGAAAAACAGAGAGAAAAAAAAAAGAATTTTACTCTATGCTAATCTAGTTATATGAGTGTAGCTGTGACTAGTAAGCATTTTATAATACAGAAACTCCCAGTAAAAATTTCCAGAACAAGACCCACTGCTGATTTCTGGGTAGCTAAGGTCACAGAGGTGAGTAAACCCCACTAATCATGCCGAGGTTATTAGAGCTAATTACCCTTCTTCCCACCAGAACCCTATGGGCAGAACAGCAATAACAGAAAACATGTACTCACTGCATGTGTGTAACAGTTAGCAGCATGTTCATAGCAAGTTGGTTTGTAGCGGCCATTGGCTGGAGCTGGATGGTTCATGAAACTGTAGAAACAAAAAGCCATCATGTGAATAAAGCTTAAAGCCATGGGAAGAACAATGAGGTAGGCCTGCAATGACTGTTTATTCTAAATGAAGAGGTCACTGGTGAAAATACATAGTTACAGGAAGAAAATCAGAAGCCATTAAAAAAATGTAAACTGGAGTAATACCAATGATCCTAAAGCAAATACCCAGGTCTAATGAATGAAGTTTTCTTTTAGTTTACTCAAAAGATAAACCTTCTACCAACCAAAACAAACAGAAACCATATTCAACACTTCAACTGGTATCCCTAATGAGCCAAAAAAAGTCATAACCAAATGGTTAATATTAAATATTAATAGAAAAAAAAACAAGGGAATTTTCTGGACTTCAGTTGTTGTCATTAAATGAAAAGATATATGTTGTATTTGAAAGGTTTCTGTTTTCTTTCCCAGAATGTATACAGCTTTATATATGCAGATCTTTATAAAGCCTACATCCCACAATTAAAGGCTTGCCCAACTAGTTTCCCCATATTGTGTTACCTGTTCTGGCAGCAGACGGTTTAAATGATACCTGGCTTCCTCTAGGCCACCTAAACAAGCAGGTATATTTTCACCTTCATTCTTCCTGAATTAAAGGAGTTTGCTTCAAAAACCAAACACATGACTAGTACCTGATATCCTGGCTATAAAATTTATATATCTCACAAATTAACATATGGATGTAAATATTAAAACCTGTTACCAATACAGATACATGCTGGAATTCCATACTTCCTGTGTACCCAGACACTATCATAATCAGCAACAGAATGAAAACCTAAATACACAAGACCAAGAGATGACAGTGCTCATCTATTTCAGTGTGCAGATGAGGATGCCCCTAAATCTGCACTCACCCAGGTTTCATAGTGGATCCAGGATTACTCTGACCACTCCCAAGAGGAGAAAAAAAAAAAAAGTTGTCTGAACAAAGAAGTAGATGCAAAGCAGAAATAAAGAGGGGTCAAAGAGCCCTGGGCAGCACTTAGGTCTCAGAGGTCAACAGGTTTCATACAATAAAATTGTCTCTTTGTATGAGCTAGTTTGGAGGAGGGGAAAAATTTTTGTCACTAACAAGTTTTGACTAGTCACACATTATTTGTTGACATGATGAAAACCCAGACCAGGCTGAACAAATGGCAGAGCCATATTATCAAAAACTGGCTAAAACATGGTAGCAAGCCATTCTACACAGGGCCCAGTTGGTGATCAAAAGACTGACCAATATTTTCTCCCTGATTAAGAATGGCCTTAAATCCTTAAATCAAATAAATAAAAACCAAATGGCAGTTCTGTCAACCCCATACACACAGTTCAGGTGGAATATCTATGGGATGAATTTGGGACAGTGAAGATCTTGAACCATCAATGGGTTAGATATTTAATTAGTAAAATATCTACTTATTGATGTTGTCCACCTGGTGACTTGAAAACTATTTTTAAAAAAATCTACAGCAAGCACTTCTGAATTTATCCAAACTATTCTCACACATGGAGAAATGATTTCAAGCAATCATCTTTTCTCCCATGATAATTCTTTAAATAATTTTGCTAATTTCCTAAGGGATAATGGTGTTGCTATACAGCTCTTATTAGTAAAAAGAAAAATAATTACGCTCTTGGGAAGAATGCTTTCAGTGTCTGAAGCATTGAAGGACCTACCACATCATTACCCTGAGACATAACAACAGAGCTACAAGTAGCACAGCCTAGTGGGAATTTCAATGGGTAAAAAGTGAGGCTCCAAAATGGCTGAAGTTAGATTAAATTGAAAATGCTCCAGGGCTGGGGATGTGGCTCAAGCAGTAGCGCGCTCGCCTGGCGTGTGTGCGGCCCAGGTTAGATCCTCAGCACCACATACAAACAAAGATGTTGTGTCCGCTGAGAACTAAGAAAACATAAATAAATATTAAAATTCTCCCTCTCTCTCTCTCTGTCCCCCCCCTCTCTCACTCTCTCTCTCTTTTAAAAAAAAAAAGAAAGAAAGAAAATGCTCCATGTAGGGTGCAGAAAGTAGGATCTGTCTACCCACCAAGAGCCTGCAGCCTAAGATAGCAATTTATATCTCTGGCAGCCCAATCTAAAAATAGACAGGCCATTACACAGCATCAGGGATAGATTTTCACATTTTTCTCCTATAAGCAAAGAAGCTGGTAGCCATGTTTTTGGCAGCGTGGTCCCTGCTCACCTGGAAAACTTCAGGTTAAAAATAAAGTAGGAAGTTGTAGAGAAAAAAAGTCCCTGTCTAGTGACTTAAGGGAGTCTCTTTTGATGGACAGGGACAAGATTAGGGCAATAAGGAAAAGTAAGAAGCAAGTATCTTGAGAGCATTTCACTGTCTGGGGCTCAGAGGGATAGATAGCACAATTGTTCTGCTAGAAAATTTTAATAGAATTTTTCCATTTCTCTCTGATCTACCAGCATGCCATCAAGCCTCCTCCTCAGTGTTCTGAAGAAATTACTTCTAAGACCTAAATGGAAAAGCAGATGTAAAATGCAAATAAACTCCCACACATGTGCCTAATCTCTTCCTCCAAAAAAGAACAGAGAAAGGTTCAAGTGTTATGGAGAATAGGCACCCATTTACAGAAGACATCTCTGTTAAAGTAGAGTAACTTAATGGTTACCCAGTGCTTAGAAAAGGGTAACCAGCATGCTGGGAAGGGTCTGAGTGAAGGTGATTTAGTCAGAGGGATGGGAACCACACTTAATACATTATTAGTTAAGTAGGGTTTTTTAATTCATTGCCTCACTTTGTCTTTCAACATTCTCTCTTGCCTCTCCCTTGCCCAGTGTCCTTATGTGGCCATCCCATGTGACAGAATGCAAAACTACAGAGGGAAAGAACAATTAGGGATCCGGAAAAAGCCTTAGCAATCCATCAGCAGATCTCAGAGGCCTATGATCAAATCCTACAAGCTGTCTTTGATTTCTCTGTGTTCCTTTCTCCAAGTGCAACATCATTACCTTCAAAATACATTCCAGGTCAGTACTTCTCTCTACAACTCCACAATTCCTACCTTCAATCAAGACACCATCATCTGAAGTCTGTGAAAATATAGCCTCTTAACTGGCCTTGCTGCCTGTCCTCACCCAGACTCTTCTTTAATATAGCAACCACAGAGTCTAACTTGAAGATCACATCACAACCCTATCCCAACTTAAAACCTATCTTTTGGTAACACTATAACATGTCCCTGATCCACAAGCCCTGGGCAGTGTAGTTTTCACTTCTCCAATCTCAAGGTACTCCCTTCCTGCAGCTACACCCTCCAGCTACACCTTTCTGTTCTTTCAACAGGTCAAGGTCTTGTCTGCCTCAGGGCACTAGTTGTTTATTTCTGCAGGAAAATTCTTCCCCAGCAGGCTCAGTTCTCTTCTCATCCTTCAAGCTTAGCTTAGATGTCACCTGCTCAGAGATTTTTCCAGACCTTCCTACCTAAAGTGTCACTTCAGCCCTTCCCAACAACCACAGACTTTATCATAATTCGTAAGATTTTTTAAAACCTGTTTTTCGTTTCATCTTTCCCCACTGTGGCATCAATCCCATGAAGGCTGTCTTGTTCACCATGTCATTTCCAATCCCAAGGACAATGCCCAGCTTATTAATGAAGTTTAATTTTAAAAAAAATGCTCAATGAATAAATGAATAGAAAGGCATTTCAACTACTGCTCAACTATTTTAATACAATTTAGTTTTCCTGGGGGTTCAGAAGGTTCTGTAAGAGAAATAGGCAGTTCTACAGTCAATGCAACTTGGAATCTCAAAAAATGAAAACAAAGATTGAGACAACAGATCCTCCAAGGGCCACTTCAACATCACTTAGGCCAATCCTGGGCACAGCACCTTACTATTTATTAGCTCCCCTTTGGAACTGAGCATAATTGTTCAGGAAATGTATAATGCCAATGTGACTTCATTATTAAATAAAGGGAGAAGGCATACCTAAGGAGGCCACCCCAATCCTATGATTCAATGCTCTAAAAACATGCAAAACAGGCACCCATGGAAGACTTCTAACACTGCAAGATAAGATACTTTCCCATATGTTCAATCTTGAAGCTAACCATTATTCACAAGGCTGGGATGAGGAAGAGAACATCCATATCTCAGAGACGTCGTGGTGTGGACACAGAAAAAGAAAGGATGAGCTACCCACAAGGGTGGTAGGGAGAGAGACACAAAACTGAACTCCTTCTGCCCCTTCTTAACTGTGCCTATAGGCAAGTTCTCTGTTGTTCTTTAAACCTATTTGTTCTTTTATTAAGTGGGTATAAAATTCTGTCTTCAAGGGTTATGGTTGATGAAATGGGTAAACTATAAGTACCCAGACAGTGCCTTGGCACCAACAGGCACTCAATTAATGTTAGCAGTTATTATCATTAGTCAGATGTTGTGAATGGGGAGGAATGACTATATATGTATGATTTGGCATACTGGGATTCTCAACTGGGAAACCAATAAAATAAGCAAGAAAATATTGTGTCCCACTGTTATCTTTCACATCCTCAGTTTTTTGAGAAAACACAATTGCATAAATCCCTCCAGTTAGGATAGCAGTCTGTTTCCTTACAGCCCTCCTTCATAGGAATGGCAGAACTCTGGATGCTGACCCAAAGCCACAATAACCACCAAGTTTCATTTTGAACAAAGCAGCAAGGTGTTCTTGTAATTTAGGCATAGCTACAAACTGTGGCCTAATGAAATGTCTTTACTGCAATCCAGTGCTTTTCAACTGGGTCTAAATGATCTATCAGGAAAATGAGGGAACTATTTGAAAGACAGCATGTCCCTCCCTACAATTCCTGTGTAATTTACGTACCTGCAACTATAGTGAATACTCAGAAAGATGTGTAATGATCACAGCTTCCAGAAAATGTAGACAAGTATTCTCAACATTTTAATGTGTAAACCACAAAAATCAGGACTTTCTAGTTATATTACCTTTTATTTGCAAGTTTTATTTTCAAGTACAA